AAGCGCTCGGAAGTTCAATGAGAGATGTGTTTTCAATTAAGACAATAATAGTTCTATGAACATCTCGGAAGGTCTATCAACATCTCTGAAGTTCTATAAGCTGCTCGGAAGTTTTATGAACTACTCAGAAGGGTTACGAACATCTCGAAAGACATATCAACATAACGGGAGTTCTAAGAACTGCTCGGAAATTCTAAAACATCTCGGAAGTTCCATGAAAGTTCTATGAACATCTCTGAAGTTCTATAAACACTTTGAAAGTTCATAGAAGTCCTTAATACTATTCAGAAGCTTTGTGAACTGCTTGGAAGTTCTATCAAATTCTCGGTAATTATATGAACTGCTTGGATGCTCCATGAACATCTCGGAAGTTCTATGAGAGATTTTGGAAGTTCTATCGACATCTCGGAAGTCCTATGAAGTGCTTGGAAGTTCTATCAACATTACGGAAGTTCCATGTACATCCCGGAAGATCTATGAACTTATCTGGAGTTCTATGAACATCTGGAAAATTCGATGAATTTCTCTAAAGTCCTGTAAACTGGATGAAAGTTCTTAGAACTGGTGAAACGAAACAAATACAAAGAAAACGGAAAATTCAAAGAGAGATTCTTAACAGTGTTGGAGTTCTGTGAACTTGTCGGAAGTTCTGTATACTTGCAGAACTGTCTGAAGTTTAGTGAAATTGTAGGATGATAAGTGATCATAGCGTAAGTTTTATGAACTTGTCGAAAGATCTGTGAACTTGTCGGACATTCTGTGAATTTGTCGGCCTTTTAGTGAACCTGTTTGAACTTCTGAGAACTTCTCCGAAAATCTATGACCATGTCGGAAGTTCAGTGAACCTGTCAAAAGTTCTGAGAACTTGTCGAAAGATCTGTGAAGGACCGGTGGAAACTAACGATCTTAAATTGGCTCACTACTTGACTAGCCTATTGGTCCCAAGCAAATCGATTTACGTACCCCATTCTAGTAGAAATTCTAGTACTACACTATGTTTGTTTTGATTCGCTATGAAAGTTTGACAGATGAAATGAGGGGTTCGTGGATTTTCTTATGTTCCGAGGGGTGCATCGATTAGCTTGGGACCGAAGAGAGTACCAGAGCTGAGCCAAAAAGGTGAGCACATTTCTTCGGGACCATCTGGTCTTAGATTTACCTCTATGGTTCTATGTAATTGCCAGAAGTGCTGGATACTTGGCGAAAGATCTGTGAACTTGTTGGCAGTTCTGGGGACTTGTCGGAAGTATTGCGAACTTGACGGTAGTTCTGTACACTTGTCGGAAGTTCTATGCACTTGTCGGAAGTTCTATGAACATGTCGGAAGATCTGTGAACTTGTCGGAATTTTAGTGAACCTGTTGGAAGTTCTGAGAACTTCTCCGAAAATGCATGAACATGTCGGAAGTTCAGTGAACCTGTCAACTTGTCGGAAGTATTGCTAGACGGTAGTTCTACGCACTTGTCGGAAGTTCTATACACTTGTCAGAAGTTCTATGAACATGTCGGAAAATCTGTGAAGCTGTCGGAAGTTCCATTAACCAGTTGGTAATGCAGTGAACCTGTCGAATATTCTGGGAAATTGTCGGAAGTGGGAAGTTCAGTGAACCTGACGCAGGGTCTGTGAACTCAATCGGAAGTTAAGCGAATTTATTGGAAGTTCTAACAAACATGGCGAAAGTTCTGTGAACTTGTCGGAAGATCTATCAACAATCAATACGAAACTAACGATTTTAAATTGGCTCACTACTTGACTAGCCTATTGGTCCCAAGCAAACGATTAACGTATCCCATTCTAGTCGAAATTCTAGTACTACGCAATGTTTGTTTTGATTCGCTATGAAAGTTTGACAGATGAAATGAGGGGTTATTCGTTTTTCCTATGTTTCGAGGGGTGAATCGATTAGCTTGGGACCGAAGAGAGTACCAGAGCTGAGCCAAAAAGTTGAGCACGTTATTTCGGGACCTTCTAGTCTTAGAGTTACCTATATGGATCTATAGAACAAGTCGGAAGATCTACAAACTTGGCGAAAAATCTATGAACTAGTCGAAGCCTTGAATACTTGACGGAACTTCTGTGAACTTGTCGGAAGTTCTGGGAATTGTAGAAATTTCCTGAAGTTCCATGAACTTCCCTGAAGTCAGGTTTGAATCTGAAGATTTTCGACTGTCCAATAGTTCAAATCATGACTCTCAGATAGCGGCGCCGGTGGTGTAGTGGTAAGCGTGATTACCTCTCACCCCAGCAGGCCTGGGTTCAATCCCAGTCGGCGCCGCCGGGATGTTCTGACACATAACATCTCAGATCACGCCTTCCTTCGTAGGGGAAGTAAAGCCGTTGGTCCCCGATTCATGAGTTGATGGGTCGATAGGTAGGGTCCAGGTGTGGGAGCTGCCTCCCTGGCGTCGGTAGCATTGGTGCTCGGAACACAAATCAAGGGAAAAAAATTAGTCTCAGATATTCTTTCAAATTGTCAGGTTGATCATAAATTATTCCAAAGAGCTCCTGTCCTTTTTTCAACCCATCAGGTATTATTCTGAAGATCGACAACCGACCAACAATTCAACTTATGTCTCTCAGATATTCTCTCAAGATAGCAGGGTAACCAAACCTCTCAATAACCAGTTGATCAAAGTTGTTCATAAAGTCCTTTTGGTACGTTTTGATTACGGTGTACGACTTTTCAGTCAGTATTCATTGCTTTTATGGAAAAGCTACTGTGCTATCTGGTTCATCAAAATTTTTTTCAAAGACCTTCAGTTGATCAAAGATCTACACGAAGTCCTTTGGATATTTGTTTTAAACCTACAGGTTGATCAGGAATTATGCTTAAGATCTCACGCTGTCCAACAATTCAAATCATGTCTCCCGGATTTTCTCTCAAGATTTTAAGTTCAGTTGATCAAAGGTCTTCATAAAATCCCATGGATACGTTTTGAAGACTTCAGGTTGATCAGATATTGGTTGAAGATCTCCAACTGTCCAATAATTTAAATCATGTCTCCCGAATATTCTCTCAAGATATCAGGGTGATCAGGAATTATTTTCAAGATCTCCAACTGTTCAAAAATTTGAATTATGTCTCTCGGATATCCTCTCAAGACATCAGCTTCATCAGAAATTATTCTAAAGACCTGCAGTTAATCACTTCTTCTTCTTCTTCTTCTTCTTCTTCTTCTTCGCATTTCAAGCTTATTGCTTATCGCATATTAGCTTATTGCGTGCTCTCAACTTAGTGTTCTAGATGAGCTTCCACGGTTATTAATTGAGAGCTTTCGACGCCTGTACCATTTTTGCATTAGTATAATTGTGTGGCAAGTACAATCATACTCTATGCCCAAGGAAGTCGAGAAATTTTCCAACCCACAAAATTCCTAGACCGAACCGGGAATCGAACCCAGCCACCTCCAGCATGGTCTTGCTTTGTAGCTGTGCCTTTACCGCCTGAGCTTTGGAAGGCCTTCAGTCAATCAAAGATCTCCATTAAGTCCTTTGGATAGCTTTGAAGACTTCTGGTTGCTCATGCATTTATCCCTCGTACTGTCCAATAATTTGAGGCACGGCTTTCAGATATTCTCACAAGATAGCAAATTGATCAAGAATTATTCCAAAGACCTTTAGGTGATTGAAGGTTCAGAGAACTTTACAGAACTTCAGAGAAACTGAAGGTAATTCCAAGGGAGTACTAAGGAGAGTTACAAGAGAATTCCAAGATTATTCCAAGTGATCCTCGTAAAGGATTTTCCGAAGAATTCAGAGGTGAAATCCAAGGAAATTTTAGGAGAATACATTTCTTAATTTTAAATGACATACCAAGCGATTTCCGCGGAATATTCCAAGCGAATTCTAAAAACAAATTTAGCAGACAATTTGCTTATTTGGGACGTTTATAGCAACCGATTTTGAATTGGCTCACTACTTGACTAGCCCTCAAAGGGGCGCTAAGATAGTGATGTTTGCTAATATAATGGCAGTTATTTAAAATAGTTACAGTGCTCCAAAATTGATGAAATTTTGGATTGCGGTTCCATTTTTAATGCAGATTACGAATGTGTATTTAACTCAATACTCCTATACAACCCAAGTGTACAAACTCCGGGCAAGTCCATTACTCCAGTAAGTTGAGGTCAGTGAGCGTTAACGGTCAAAGGAGTTTATTTTGCATGTGTTTGTTTAATTAGCAGTAATTTTCCAATTTTTGGATGATCCATTTAATAAAAAAAAATACAGCAGACTCAACTCAAACCATACCAAACGTATCGCAAAATCCACCGAAATTACTCAACTGATCCAACCAAACGAAACCATCGACCTTCTGCGGAAACCAAAATTAAATTGTTTTGACCACTTAATAGTGCTCTCGCTTCACACTCTCACTTCGAAGATCATCGACAACTACTGTACTGTAGCTGTCGGTAGGTACCACTTCACCAACGCACTTGTGTGGGGTGAAGTACAAGACGGAGCTACCAACTTGAAAAACCGCAACCAATCCGACCGCGAAATGAAAATAAAACAAAAGGAACTGTTCCACCGCATGATGTTCGTTCACACGTACCCACTTGTAATAACAATCTGGTTTGCCCCTTTTCTCTGTGTGTGTGTACGTGTACATTTCTTGTGGGTAATGTTTTGATTAGGACCCCTTGCTTCGCTACTGATAACAGCGACGACGGCTCTGGCTGCAGGTGAGTTCCGACTATTTTCGCCAAATTTAGACTGACGACTACCAACCGTACGGCAATGAAACAGAAAAAAAAGAACAGAAGAATTGCGTGCGGATAATGGTGGTGGGTAAGTGCAGGAAATTTTTGCATAAAGTAATCGCAACTACCCGATGCGGTGCGAGCGAAGAGCCCCCGAAGAGTCGCGAAGCAAAAAAGGAAGATGAGCTAATCTCGTTTTCACTCTTTCTCTCGCACGCTCTTTCCGATTCCCTTCGCCGCCTACCCAGTTTCGTATGGAGCCGCGGAGTACGGGGGGCAACTGGATGTACTTACATAGATGTAATAGGAAGAGCTCAACATGATATCCAAGTTTTTCTTCTGCTGTTGTTGCGGTTGCTGTTGCTGCTGTTGTTGCGGTTGTTGTTGTTGTTGTTGTTTCTGCTGCTTCTGCTTCTTCTTTGGTGCCTGCTGTTGCTGCTTATTCTTCATTGAGTGTGCCGTTTTTCTTGCCACTGCGCGTGTTTTTCGTTTTCCCCCGAGGGGGTGCCCGATCTCAGCGATCTCTACCGCGGTTCCGTTCCCGGGTACACCTGGCGTACCCGAGAGCGAGCGTAAGGAGGAGGAACGTGGTTCCTAGTGCTCCTGAAGGCGCTGCTGATCGGACCTCCGGGTACCGTAGTGGAGCCGGGGAGGACTTCCTCGGGATTCCTCCTGCGGCTGCCTGCTGCGGTTCTTCGGAAGGGAGCAACCGCCTGACAGGTGATTCTGATGCATGACACCGAATGAACGGGGGGAACACGGGAGATGAACCACTTGCGAGATTTTTCTTGGGGGCAAATTTTCCCGAACAAAGAAGACACTCAACGATGACTACGTCTCCGATTTCTATTGCCTTTCCAACTGCACTTTTCGGTCACTACCGATACGTTGCGCGCACTCCACTCTCACTCCGCACCGTGCTCCGCTGGGAGTAGTGTGTTTACGTCCCTGGGCATGTGTTGGTGCGCGCATAGACCCCTGTGTGCTGCGGGAACTGTTATAAATGCGAATAACAGCAATAATAATAATCACAACAGGCAACAAAAAAACAACTATGTGCATTTGATATTACTCTCTTTTCCTCAACGTTGGGCACGTTTCGACACTCTCGTTTTATTCAACACTAACTACTTCTTTTTCTTCTTCTTCTTCTACGACTTGTTTACCCCCTTCTCCTTCTTCTCTTGGCAGTATTATTCTACCGACCGCTGCTGCCGCTAGTCGTCGTCCCCGTCGACTTATTCTTCTTAAACAATATTAATTTCTGCTATGTTGCCAATATAATACCTTCTAGCACTTAACTCCGTGCTCACACATATTTTTCCTTTTTCTGCTTTTTAACTGCTTCTACTTTTTCCTTTCCACCTTTGATTTACTTCTTCCCCTTCTACTTCTTCTTCGTCTTCACTCGCCCTCTCGTTTCAACAACGGTGTTGGTGGTGACCCATCGATCGGTCGGCAAGGCAGTGGAAAATTACATCAAACACTCGGTGTCGTGACATGCACTCTTCTCCTCCTCCTCCACCTCCTTCTGATGTATAATATAAAACATTCACCAATTCCACCACTGAGCACTGCAAAAAATCGACCACTATTTGACAGCTTCTACTACTGCTCGGCTACTATCACCACCACCACTGCCTAATACTGGTACTACTACTACTGCTGCTGCTGCGCAATCTACGGCACTTGGTCACTATTCACTTCCATCAATCACCACGGAATGTAACGAGAAAACTTCACTGCTCCGACTGCACCTCTGCACTGAACTCCACGCACTTCGTAGATTCTTAATCTACTTCAGAAAAAAAAAAACATTCCACCAATCAATCTCCAGAATTCAGTTACATCTCGCAAACACAATCACCGATTTGGGTGTGTATCCCTGCTAGTTACTGCTGCTACAATTCAATTTTCTTTGTTGAACACTGCCTTGGCAGGCTGGTGCCACTTGTCTTCTGCACCGCAGAGAAGCGGATTGTGTCACATCTGATTCCTACACTTCTAGCCTTATTCTTCTTACGCCGTTTACTGCAACTATCTCTCCCTCAAACGTTCTCACTCCGCGCTGCTGGCTCGCTTCAACACAGTTCACGGTTCGCGGCGGCGACGTCGTCTGAGATGTTGTGATCCGCTAACGGGTACAGCTAAAATGAGCTGAAAAATTCAACCTTACTTTCCCCCGGTTCTCTCGACGATGGATTTCTGCTTTTGCTGCTACGAGACTTGGACTTGGGTCCCACACACATTCCTCGCCGCCCCGCTCCACGGACTCTATGCTCTGCTGCTCTTCCTTCGCCTCGGCAACGTGCGCGCCTACTACTCTAATTCGTGTACATATCTCTCACTTTTCCCACCCCTCTCGATGCTGCTGCTGCACCTCACCGCACATTATCCGGATCCGGAGTAGGAAAATCAATAAACCGAACCTAATTTGTACACGAATGCACTTCACTCAGATTTCTCACTCACTCGGCGCTCCTCAATTTGGTTCTTGAACTGCGTAGCCCTCCGCTTGTCAGGAACCGGAACTCTCTATCGCCGTTCTATTGTCTCTATATTCGGCAAGATTGCGTAGCCGACACCTTCCGGTGATCTTCCGTCACCCACACCTTGGTTTCCCTTTTCGACAACGATAATTTGTTGATCCGCACGGACAAAACACAACAATCCGACTACCGAGACGGCCGACGTCGTCGTATTTGCCAAACTAATTCTTCTGCTGCCGGAGTGAGTGAACCCCGACCAACCGACGGAACGGCAGCTGTCTTGCTTACTTGCGTTTACCCTTAAACCCACCATCCCGTACAACATAACACGAACCGAACGAAGGAGTGAACGGAACAAAAACAACCGACTGTCATTTGAGTGCCTTCCAACAACAACAACAACCAAGTCACAACAACGCTCTAGAGCCCGACAAAAGAAAGGAGAAACACGTAGTACCTACAACATTTTTTTTTATTTTGATATAATATGCACAAAAATTTTCTGCCCATTTATTCCACACACTACTCTCACACCCCTCGCTCGCGCTTTGCGCACAGCACGGAAGAAGGAGAGAGAAACTCCCGGAGAGAGAAAAATCGAGTAACTCATCGCTCATCGCCGTCGTCGCTCTTGTACAACGTGTGCGAGATTACGAAGCAACAAACAAAAGGAAAATATCATTATTGGGAAGCTAATTCATAAACGAATGCTGCGGATTCCGCTTTTTTCTTCTTTTCGTTCTCTCTCTCTCTTCTGCACATGCTTCTTGCTTCTTGCTTCGTTCGTTGGTTCGTTATCGTCGACGAGACGAGACGACCGGCTGCCTGCCTGCGATCAGACACAGGCAGGTCGCTCAATAAAAACCCTGCTGTTGGTTAGGACTGACACTCTGAGCGAGCGACTGACTGTCGTACGGTATCGCGATGATTGTGTTTGATTGCTATTATTATTGTTATTGGATTGGTCGTATTTATTATAAAACGAGCGTGAGGAGCAGTGAAATTTGTGTGGGTCGATCGCGTCGACGTCGGGCTGGAAATTTTCCAGCACCTGACGTCGAAGTAGACATTTTGTGTGAGGTTTAGAAAACTGATTAGGTGATGGAAATTTTCCCTTTTCGGAGGATTCAATTCGAGGGTTCGAGTGCATTTTGTATACGCTCACACTCACACATGCACCACGCAACCAACAACAAAGGGCGTTGCACGTGTGAAGAAGAATGGAACAAGTAAACATGTAAACTCGACACAACAAGAAACGTGTAAGATTCTAGGAAGAGGATCCTCTTTCAAGGAGACCACGGGCCGAACTAGGTATTCTTCCGAAAATAGATTTATTTTGGGTTGCAAAAAAAAACGGGGACATCTGGATGAAGTGCATCAGCTGGGACAGCTGTTTGGCATCGGTTCGGTTGCGATATCGTCGGAACACAATGGTCTTGATGAGCGCTTGCAGAAAGCGGATTGCACGAATTCAAACAGATTAGATTAGCGTTTCTCAATCTGTGGGTTGGGACCCACCGTGCACAGTGGTGCGAGGGCGGAAGTAATCCCAGTTTTCAGCCCAATCGGTAAAGAAATGCATTCCTGGAAAAAATCAAAGAACTTCTTCCCGAAATTTCTAAAAGTACTGGTCTTGAACCTGTCTGACTCCTGTTTTTCATAGACTGAATAAAATTTTCATCGATTTTCTTAATATTCGAGCAAATTTTTGAGGAAAATCGATGACAATTTACTCAGGAATTCAAATTTTAGTCGGATTCAACGGTCGTGGTTTCACATCTGTTCCAGCACTGCATTCTTCCTTATTTTCTCCTTGGATTATTATAGAGTTATAGAGTCTTCTTGATGTGTCGTCTTCGATTTTACCCTGGATTATCTATGAATCTTCCGAGAAACTCCTCCTTTTCCTTTAATTTTTTTTCTCCAGAAATTTAACAGAAATTGCGTCTGGAATTTTTCAGGAGTCTCTGAATAAATTTTCCTCCTGTTTGATTGCTTTTGGATTTCAATAGGAATTCTTAAATAAGAGAACTATGGGCTCTTTGAATTCCTTGTTAAATTTTTCAGGAACTTTCTCTATAGAAGAGTCTCCTTAATTTATCTAGGAATTCCTGCTTTCCTCCACCAGGAATTATCTTTTTGATTTAATTAACAAATCTTTAGAACTCCTCTAGGAATTCCTCTTGAAGTTATTTCGGAATTCTTCATAAATAAGATAAGGATTTTCCTATGGACTTCTTTGTGTTTACCCTGCATTATCGATTATTGATTGCATCCTCAAGTTATGTAGAAATTCCCTCGTTTTTCTTTGAATGTCGTCAAGAAATTTTAAAGAAATTGCTGCTGGAATTTTTCAGGAGTTTCTGAATAAATTTTCCTCTAGTTTTTATAGCTCTTGGATTCCAATGAGAATGCATCCTCTAGTTCTTTTTGATTTCCTCGTTTAATATTCCAAGAATTTCCTCTAAAGAAAAACCTAATGAACTTATCTAAGAATTCCATGAGGAATTATCTTTCTGATTTAATTAACAGATCATTCGAACTCCTATGGGAATTCCTCTTGAAGTTTTCTTGGAATTCTTCACAAAAAACTTAAGGAGTTTACTAGAGATTTTGGTTGGAATTCTTCCTGACCTTCTTTATGATTTACCCTGCATTATCGATTAATATTCAGTTTCTAAATCTCTCTTATTAATTCGATCCTCAAGTTATTCCTGATATTTCTGAAAGTTCTGGTCTTGAACTTGTCTAACTCCTGGTTTTCATAGACTGTTTAAATTTTCATCGATTTTTTTCATATTCGAGCTGTTGAGGAAAACCGAGGGAAATTTATTCAAGAATTCAAATTTGAAAACGGTCGTAGTTTCACATCTGTTCTAGCGCTGCGTTTTTCCTTATTTTCTTCTTGGATTCTTATAGAGTTACCAGTCTTTTTGATGTGCCGTCTTCGATTTTACTCTGGATTCTCTAGCTCCCGAATCTCCAAGGAAATCCTTCCTTTTCCTTGGATTTTTTTTCCAGAAATTTTATAGAAATTGCTTCTGAGTTTCTTAATAAATTTTCCTCCTGTTTTGATTGCTATCGCATTTCAATAAGAATTCTAAGAATTCTAAAGAAAACCCTCCTGAACTTATCTAAGAATTCCATGAGGAATTATATTTTTGATTTAATTAACAAATCTTTCGAACTCCCATAGGAATTTCTCTTGAAGTTTTCTTGGAATTCTTCACAAAGAAGTTAAGGAATTTCCCAGGGACTTTTCTAGGAATTCTTCCTGACCTTCATTATCGATTAATATCCAGTTTCTAAATCTCTCTTATTAATTTGATCCACAAGTTATATAGAAATTACCTCCAGAATTCTTCCTGATATTTCTGAAAGTACTGGTCTTGAACTTGTCTGACTCCTAATTTTTCATAAACTGATTAAAATTTTCATATATTTTCTTCATTTTCGAGCAGATTGTCGAGGAAAATCGAGGAAAATTTACTCAAGAATTCAAATTTGAGTCGGATTCAACAATCGTGGTTTCACATCTGTTCTAGCGCTGTGTTTTTCCTTGGATTCTTATAGAGTTACCAGTCTTCTTGATGTGCCGTTTTCGATTTACTCTGGATTCTTTAGCTCCTAAATCTTCAGAGAAATTTCTCCTTTTCTTTTGATTTTTTTTTCAGACATTTGTTAGAAATTACGTCTGCAATTTTTGAGGAATTCCGGAATAAATTTTCCTCCTGTTTTGATTGCTCTCGGATTCCAATAAGCATTCATCCGGTAGTTCTCTTTGAATTCCTCATTTCAAGGAATTTCCTCGAAAGAAAAGTCTTTCCTCCATCAGGAATTATCTTTTTTATTTAATAAACAAATCGAGGAATTCCTCTTGAAGTCATCTTGGAATTCTTCACAAAGAAGTTAAAGAATTTCCTAGGGACTTGTCTAGGAATTCTTCCTGAGCTTCTTTGTGATTTACCCTATATTATTGATTAATATTCAGCTCCTGAATCTCTCTTATTAATTCGATCCTCAATCCTCTGAATTCTTCCTGAAATTTCTAAAAATACTGATCTTCAACAAGATATCACCTTCGCCCTCTTTTACTTCTCTGGGAAACCTCTTCGACTCGTAAAGAACTTTTTGTTGAGGCTCGTTTTAAATTTCACTGAGCTTTGTTTTCTAGGAATACACGCTGGACTTCTTTAAGATTTCCAAATGAATTGCTCCCATTTTTTTCCTGCCATTTTAAAGGAATTCCTCTAAAACTTCTTTAAGAATTTCCTCGAGAACTTTTATAGAAATTATTTTCAGGCTTATTCTGGAACATAGGGGAAATGGCTCTAATGTTGGCCTATGGATCTAAGATTGGGCCCATCGCTAAAGATCTGCTATTTATCAATTTTATTTAGATGAACGCGTCTAATGGATGCGACGGTACTACTGGATTTTTTGGTCGCTATTGAAAATTTAGTCCATTGCTGAATTTATGTATGGGCCCAAATTAGGGGCATTTAGGCCGACATTACATCCATTTCCCCTATATACTATTATCGCTTAGTTCTCTTTGTTCTTTCGTCAAATGGTTCCCAAGCAATTCCACCTGAGCTTGTCCAATTCATCCTATTGGACTACAATTTCGAAGAAATCTCTTCTGTTAATTTGTAGGAATTGTCCCCTAGTTACTCCTCATAAACACTTCTGAAAAGCGGTCTGTTGATTATGGGAGAAGAAAGTTTAAGGTCGTCTACGTAGTCTATGGACAATCCCTAAGAATCCCTCTGATGTTGCCCAATCTATATTCCACGTAAACTTCTTTAAAATCCGTTTGAATTCTTTCAGTAATCTCTAGTACACACCTCCATGAAGTCTTCCTGGAGTTCTAAGAGGATTTCTTAGCATTTCCTTTTGGACTTTGTTTTGAATCCGATTGATGACTTTTTTTTATTAATTACTTCTAGATCTTAAGAGACAGTTTTTTCTCTTTAGCAAACTTGCTTGAAATCATCTCAGCTAAAACTTTGCTGAAGAACATGTCCCTTTATTTAAAAAATTAAAAAGTAAGTCAACCATTTGAGGACCACCCTAATTATAAAAATAGCCAGAAGAACAAACTTTTGAACAAACTGAAAAAGTTCAGCTGAAATTTAAGACCAAAGCACTAGGACTTTTGATTTGTAAAATTTCCATCTTGTACTTCAAGAAACATGTGTTAGATAGTAAATTATAAGATTTATCAATTTACTCGACAAAAACGTG